GGAGACTTCTGTCTCTTGAGGAACGGATTTCCCGCTGTTTAAAATACTTGCAACGGCGAGGCGAAAGGGTGAGCCTCATGAAGTTAAGGCAAGAGGGGTCGTTGCAAGGTATTGAAAGGTCATCGGGCCCCAGACTGGGGGATTCGGCGATGACTGCAAAATTTTTGCGGGTGGCCCAAAACGCCAGCAATTTTTACACTGTTGTGGTGTAGGGGTCACCTTTTGAACTTTTAACCCCTGCCCGCTATATAAAAATGGGATGGGGTCCCCGGCTTCAAAAGTTAAAAGAGCCACATTGCTAGGGTATCGTTCCGCCCACGGGAGGAAGAATGTAAGTGTCTCCCCTTGAGGATTGGGAGACTTGGGGTTTCCCGTGTTCAAAAATGTCTTTCACATGTCGGGGGAATTTTGTTTAATTGGGATGGGGTGAAGGGCGATACCCTACAGAATTAGGAATGATGTTTTTTAAAGTGAAGGAACAGTTCGATATGGGAAAGCGAGAAGCTCGAGCCTGGGGGAGCATTCTGTACGGGAATGATGGGTTTTCCCTCTTAGAATGAAAAGAAATATCTTTACCACATGGCGTAGGAGTGCCCTTTCCAATTTCGTGGTCAGAAAGATAGGCAGTAGAGGAAGTCGGTCGTAAAGTGAAGAATTTGGGTCCATTGTTCAGTCTGAAACTGAGCGTGGAAAGGTAGTGAAGGACGTGTCGATCATTTCTGAGAAGAACGAGAAGGTGGAGAAGTATCATCAGCAGGTAACTGTCATTGGCGTTTAGGCGTGGGACCAGAGTTGGTCCGACGTGGAACGGGTCGGCGATTTGAAAATTGCCGCACCGTAGAGGAAGAGGCCGGAAGCATAGTCAGAGGAGAGCGAAGGTCCGATAAATCGAAGGAGTCAGTCGAGGCCTCAGTACCTGAAGCGGGTGAGGAAACAGCACTGGCAATAGGTACAGAGGCATGAGGAGTGTCTTGAAGAGTGGTCCAAAGACGAGGCAGGGTCAGAACGGGGTGCGGTATCAAGAAGGGGCCCGGGGGTAGTAGGTTCATGGACTAGGGCTGCCATGGTTAGGTTACTTCTTTCTTTTTGTTTTTAAGAAAAAAAAAAGAAAGAAGAAAAGAAAATAAAAATAAAAAAAAGAATAAAAAAAGGGGGGACCGGGGAGGGATAGTTCCTAGGAGGAATGAAAGGGCCAGAAATCTCCCTCCACGCCCAAGAGGACCTCAGCACCGCAAGTAGCGCAGATGCAGCATGGAACCCTTGCCATACCCTACCCATCATGCTAGTAAACTAACAATCCGGGATAGCAACCTCACATCTGCCGAGCTACCTCGGCGGACAAAAGAGAGGGCGGCCGGATATCCGCCACAAAGCGTACCTCCTTCGGCCACCACCCCCGGAATCCGAAAGGTGGCTTCCAGAGATACACCCGTCACCCGAAAGACACCCAAAGCTACTCCGGGATACCGGAGAGGGATCGGGACATCCCCAGGCGATCCAGATTCCACGGCAAACTACGCCACCGCCAAGAACCTCAACGGAATGGGATAGACCCCGGTATCCTTTCCCCTACCTAGGAACTAGCGCGCCTGTGGGAGAAATCCCAAAGGCCAAAAAGAGGAAGGGCAAAAGGGAGGGGTGGGGAGGAGGAGGAGGAAAGGAAAAAGGGGAGGGGAGATTGGGGGGTAATTAGGTTCGGTCTGAGGAAGAAGACCGACAGGTCTAATTCCTCAGACCAAGAGCCTCTTCACCACGCCAAGGAGCCCCCCTTGATGAGGGACATTCTCTGAACAGTTTCCAATTACTGCATTTGTGTATATACAGAATCTACAGCTTGTTGGTATTCCTCACCATCTACTGATAATATTGTTCTTGACAATTTGTAAGTATTTAACTTTTTTTTTCTTTTAACACTATGGCCATTTCCCAACGAGGCAGGGTTAACCAAAAAGAAAAAAGAAAAAACTGTCATCATCATTCAACACTTTCACCATCACTCGTACATAATCACTGTCTTTGCGGAGGCAAAGACAGTGATTATGTTTAGAAATATTATACTGTAATTCCTAATTTTATACTGTTTAACATTTATACCTGGTATGGCATGTGTATTCATTAAATGTTCAGTCAGAAATTCATACTCCATATTTCAAGTGCTTTATTATCTGATTTGCTCAATTTCACATTACACAGCACTTTTCAGTATTATTTATCACAATTCAAGAGATTCGAGTAAAGGTAAAAAATTACCATATCTGCTTTATGATAGATAAGACATAATTACACACTACAAGAGGCTCAAGAGACATAATATTTTTTGTTTCTATGTACACTACCAGTAATTATAAAACTTTCAGAAGGTTGTATAAAAAATGGAAGTAAAAAATAAAAGTTTATGAAAGTAAAAAGTACCAGGTATAGAGAACAAAAGATTGTAGATCAGATCAAGAGGAGGTTGGAGAAAGTAAATGTATACAGATACTTGGGACTGAATGTGTAGGGAGAAGGGTCAATGAAGAATGGGGATAAATAGCAAAAACGAAGTTCCTAGCCATACAGAATTTGTGTTAAGAAATACATCTTTTAATGGACACCACAGAATATAGCGGTGCTGACACTTGTACAGTATGGATATGCCGCATTGTTTTTGAATGCTTAGAATAAGCATAGTCAGAGGCAGTGTATATGTAGTGTCTGCACTCAATGTGTGGTTGGAGTGTGAGCAAAATAACATTCAGGTAACCGGTTAGCCGGACTGGAGTCCAAGAGGTGGGAATTACACTGCCTGGACTTTTAATAAAAGGAGGGGGTGGAGATGTTGCAGCGCATAAGATTATCCGAGCTGTGATGCTAGCATGCTTCTGGCAAGATGATGATCAACAGACTAATGGTGATTGTCTGCAATGCCTGAATTATGAATTAATATCTCATGATCACCCAGATGTATTCAAAAGTAGTGGACTTGGTCCACTGATGCAGAAGACAACTGAACACTAAGAGTATGGGTATTATAATATGTAGTACTACAGTAAAGTACCATACTGTATAGAAATACATGACATAATTTGCAGTAATTTTACATACCTTTTTGCTGTTGAGAGATGAAGTGTAAACTGCTGTGATTGATAGTGGTGACCCAGAAGAGCTGTAGAGCTCTACCAGTGAAAATGTAAATGATTGAGATATAGAGAGCTAAGAAGGCATAGATAGCTGAGATGATATGGATTTTTGAGAAACACACTTTGTCTCTTGGTACCCCCACCACTTGATTTAGAGGCCATAGTTCATTGTGCTTTACTTAATATGTTAATAAAGTCACACAAAATGCTCTAAATTCAGGGAAAATTAGAGACAAAGACAACTGTACGTGTGAATGAGCATAATAAACTGGTGGAGGTGGCATATGACTCAGAAACAATGAAAACAAACAGGTCCTCAATGTGGCCACTTTGGCCCTTATTGGACAAATGTTGGAGTTAGTGAACCTGACCCTATATCTCAGAAAACAACAAACAATTGCTATGGATAAAACACAGAATTATGGACTTTCGTGTGATAATTAGAGCATTTTGTCCACAACTATTGAACTCCATCAGTGAGAGGTTTTGCTGCATTCTTTTTCTTGGGTCACCCTGTCTTGGTGGGGGATGGCTGATATGTTTAAAAAAAAAAAAAAAAAAGTACAGTATCTGAGATGAAAGATGATGTAGGGAATGTCCAACGAGGGGCCAAGTTAGTGAAGGAGATACTGTGTAGTTGGGGCTTGAGCATCCAAAGGCATATCTGAGAGTGTTGAATCGAAGAGAGCTGATGCAAATGGAATTTGATGTGCTAGTGAAATGTGAGCATGTGAATATCTATGTAAGAATTCAAGGAAACTGGTTAACTGGACTAGAGCTTGGAGCGAATTAGCTTTTCTGAGGGGTTAACTTCTGCATTCAAACATCTACATTTAAAATCAAATGTAAATGTTAATATTGTCATTCTTACCAACCTAGCCTTAAGTACATTTAAATACTGAAACTTAGTTTAATCAAACCTAGCACAACTGCAGGTTATGTTACTGTGACACAAAATCATAATGACACGATTGCAAATGTGAGTCATGATGACTGCTTTGAGGGGACTTGAGCTAGAGTTTGCTACGGCCACGCTGGTAGGAGATTCGTTTCTAAAAACTTGCATTTGTGGTCACAGTGGTGCCTATGCTAACCTTCCTATGGTGTACAAATGTACCTAGTTGGATGAATCTTATTGTAGCCATGCTGTATAGCCCTTGTGGCTTAGCGCTTCTTTTTGATTATACAGTGGACCCCCGGTTAACGATATTTTTTCACTCCAGAAGTATGTTCAGGTGCCAGTACTGACCGAATTTGTTCCCATAAGGAATATTGTGAAGTAGATTAGTCCATTTCAGACCCACAAACATACACGTACAAACGCACTTACATAAATACACTTACATAATTGGTCGCATTCGGAGGTAATCGTTATGCGGGGGTCCACTGTAATAATAATAATTATTGTAGCCAGCTGGCCCAGTACCTAAAATGTTGGTGTGGAGTTTTATGACTCTGATCACGGGTTCTATCCCCTTCCGTGGTATGGTTTGGTAGGTTATGTTAAGTTATTTACAGTGTAGAAATTAAATTAGTAAAAAATGCATTATTTACACAGTGATTTTTAAAACATTAGCTAATTAAAATACTAATGACAATTATCAACAATTTTGGACTAAATTGTCTGAATTATACAATAGCTAAGAAACTAAGCAAATACACACCATGTTGTTTTCCCAGGGATTTTTCCTCCATTTAACCTTTTTTCCATGACTTCATTAGCAACCTATTTCAACTGAAGGACTATTTTTCAGTGGTAAATAAATCAATAAACCAATCTGAAAACATTGCAAAATCAAACTTTATATCAAATCTCTATTACCTGCATGCACACTCAGGTTGTAAAGGTAAACTATTTTTATGAAATTATTGGGAACTTACTTTATCAGCATCTTGTGCAGGCAGTTGGTCAGGTGAGAATGAAGAGGGGGAGCTGGCCTGAGAGGACGTGGATGATGTGAAGGAGCGGGGTGAGTGGGGTGGGGATGGAACACCATCCACTGGAGTATCAGAGGGGGAATAAGGAGGGCTAGGGCTGATCTCACCATTACCAACCACTTCCTCAGCCCCACTACTGGAGGCCGGCTTGCTGCCGGTTAGGGTTGACGTTGTGGAGCTCAGGGAGGAAGGGGAGGACTTCACAAAAGGGTTTGAGATGACAGCAGCAGTTGTGGTAGACACACTGAAGGGATTATTAGTTATATTACTTGCAGAACTGAAAGGATTGCTCATGCTGAAAATGCTAGATGCAAATGGATTGAAAGGATTACTGTTAAAGCTGTTAGTGGCAGAGAGAGAGATGTTTGTGGTGGTGGAAGATGTATCGGTGGAATCTTGTGAAGGAAGAGTGAGACGGTCTAGGGGTGCACTCTGGCTGGGAACAGTAAAGTGGGTGACTGTGATTGGTGGATCTAGGCTGAGGAGAGGTGGTGTTGAGTCCTCACCAGGCTGCTCCCTCCCTTCCCATGCCTCCAACAAATGTTGGGGTGGATTGATGCAGCTTCCACTCTCTCCAACACCAACGGCACCAAGGGACAAGGTCAGCTTGTCACCTCCCTTTGCAATATTAAGCAACAAGGTATCAATAAAACAGAATGGATACCAATCAAAATCTGGGATGCAAACTTAACTAAAACAAAACATTAAAGCAACAAAATAATCAGGACATCTAAGCACTAGCTGAAGACACACAACCAAATTTAACTGCAATTATAAAGTACTTTCAACAGTACAGTACAGTATTGAATAGTATAAAAGCAAAAAAATTTCATGCCAAACATAAAAGGCCTTACTCACCACAGACACAAATGTAGCACCTTCATTGTTCCCACATATGTCAGTGTTACCGGTCTTCTTCATGCGAGGGAGAGAACCACTGAAACAAACAGTGATCACACTCACAACATGTTCATAAGCAAAACAAACAGTAAAGCAATGCAGCATTATACTCACTTCTCTGGTACCTGTGTTCAATCATTTTAGGTAAAGAGAAGTATTCAGCTAAATTCACTCAATATTAATTTTCTGCCAAAAAGACATGAAGGCAATCCACACACATATACTGGGTAAAGATATATATATACACACTTTTTTTTCGGCTCAGCAGCCATCTCCCACCAAGGCAGAGTATCTCAAAGAAGAAAAAACATTCACCATCATTCATTCAATTGCTGTCTTTCCAGAAGTGTGCTGACATCACAATTAGATTACCCTCTGAATGAAAATCTCCACCCACCTCCAGAATTTACGTCAGGTGAACTAGTTTCTGTAATTTTTTTTTTTTAACACGATAGCCGTTTCCCAGCAAGGCAGGGTGACTCAAAAAGAAAGAAAAAACTTTCATTACTGCTCAACAGTTTCACCATCATTCATACATAATCGCTATCTTTGCAGAGGCACTCAGATACGACAGTTTAGATGTCCCTCCAAACTGCCAATATCCCAAACCCCTCTTTTGAAGTGCAGGCACTGTACTTCCCATTTCTAGGACAAGTCCAGCTAACTGGTTTCATTGAATCCCTTCACAAAATATTACCCTGCTCACACTCCAACAGATCGTCAGGTCCTAAAAACCATTCATCTCCATTCACTCCTATCTAACACACTCATGCATGCTTGCCACATAAATTAATAATTCATCAACAGAAGGGAAAGAATAAAGATTCAATATACATTAAGTTGGAATGCCCAGCTAATAGCATATTAGAGTCAACAATAGATTGGTAAACCAATAAATAAAATACATTAATTCAAGATGTGCTATATGGATGGTCAATTAGTACAATTTGTTAAATGCACGGTATGCATATTTGCTGGGATAGCCAGTATCATCTACAACATTCAAGTTATGCAGGTTAATTTGGCAAATTCAGTTAGTATTATTTGTTATAGTTCACAATATATTTAATACATAAAGTTTGGGATGAGCTCTAAATACCATCAACAAAATTCAATGAATGCATGTTCAGTTGGTGTATTTGGTTAGCATTACCATCTGCTAAAATTCAGGATATATACCTTGTATGTTAAGTTGTGTTGATCAGTTAGTACAGGATAACATTATTGAAGACATGCATGTTAGAGTGTGCTGTCCAGTTAGTATAATTTGTTAACCAAAGAATGTGTGTTAGAGTGTGTTATACAGTTAGTACACTCTGTTGAATTAAAGCATTCATGTTAAAATGCCATCATTAGTGATTTTTCTTAATTGAAACAGTCACACTGGCAAAGATGGCATGCTAGACTATGCACAAAGTCACCTTACCCATCAATGGCCCCCTCTGGCTCTTCACTACAAGCTGAGCTATCTGCCACCTCCCTAAAATTACACATGAAATGTAAAAAATTCAAAGCTTTGATACATTACAGCAATTAAACTTAGAGAGAGAGAAAATACCATCATATACAAAATCACACAAATATATTTACTGACCCCCTCAAACATCAAAAGCTTTTAAATATATAACATATACACCAGTGATAGAAGAGTTTAAAGAAACTAACAAAACAGTTCAATTTTTAAAAGACTTAAGTTATATGTATTTATTAGTCACCAAGATAGTGCTAGGTGCAGTATAAATTATAAAGCTAAAAATGTAAAGCTTGTTGAATGTTGCCAAAACTATTGAATAAAGCTACTAAAATGATACATTGTATACCATGAAAACATGTGTGAAGCAGAAGCTCCATCAGACTTAATGACTACCTTAAAATGTGTTATTGTACATCAGACTGTTCAATGTTCATAACAATAGATTGGTTGGCATAGGTGAATTTAACATTAAAAGTACTAACATAGAAATTGCAGGATGAGAGTATGCAAGTTGAGTAACATTATGTGCAGGGAACATTGTATTAATAACAAAATACCATAAATAATTGCAAGATAATGAAAAAGAGAGAGAGAGAGAGAGACAGAGACAAAGCATAAAAGAATACAGCGAGGGATTCTTTATGTATGAGAAGAAAGCTAAGTGCAAAGAGGCACTAATTTACAGTATACAAGAATAACTATGAATATAGGAGAACCCATCCTATTGGATTGTGTTAATTATAAACATGAATGAAAAAAGAATGTATAGTGGTTAGAAATAAGGTGCTTCTTAGTATCCTATCAATTTATGAACTTGTTTACAAGTTTGCTACTTTGTCCTCTATTTCGAGATGACTATACACAAAATCCCTGCTAAACTTTTCATTTACCATTTGCTTGGCCAAAAAAAAAAAAAAAAAAAAAAAATCTAAAAAGTTATGTAAAAAAATAACTTGGCCATTATATATGAAACCCTTACATTTTTAATAACTTTTCAAATATTCCAATGACTTGTTTTTTTTGTAGGATCGTCTCCAACACAGAACTCGCTTGTATGAGCATTCATGAAAAACGGTCCAAACAAATCGACGTTCAAATTCGTAGTGCTACAAAAGTAGATCTACTTTTTTTTACATATTTTTAAATGTAACAAAAAAAAAATGTAGATAAAAGTTTTTTTTACACATTTTCAAATGTAAAACAAAAAAGAAGATCTACATTTTTTTACATACTTTCAGATGTTGAAAAAACGTATATATACGTTTGGACCGTTTAAGGGTTAAATATGTACAAGCCATTGAAGGGATTCGAGTTTTCCTACTCCTGCATCCTGGCCCTGGACCATACTTGTTAATATTTCATAAAAAGCCACTAATAAACTCTCCTCCCTTATACCTTACAAAAAAGCAATTTCACTTTAAAGCTCCTAATGTAATCTTTATAGTGATAACTGCAATGTCTTCTTCAGTTCAGACTAACATTCACTACAAACAATGAAGAGACTGCTGAAGAAAGCCTCATCTAAGATCAAAATATTGCATTCTTCTTCCCTTCTATTTCAATTTCTCCAAGTGAGTTCACATGTACCACTGACCATGGTTCATTAAACTTTTATAATCAAAATCATTATAACATTTAAAATAAACCTTTCTAAGTTTTAATTTTTATCTAATTGGTGGAATTTAATACAGAAATCAATAAATACTGGATATTCTTGCATTATGATGTCTTACTGTATAAAATCTAAGTACCTTTCATATATGTAGTACAGTAGGGCCCCACTTATACAGCAGCATAGGTTCCAGGCTACTGCCAGAAAGCGGACATCGCCAGAAAGCAAAACGCCATTTTTTCCACTTATAAATGCATATAAATGCCAGATAATAAGTTTACACTAACATATATTAAGTTAGCAATAGAACTAGGCATTAAAAAACAATAAAAAGTAAAATACATATACAGTACACTCATTACTTACCTCAAAATATTTGTAGTCTTAATGTAGGATGAAAGGCGAGTACTGTTTATGGTAAGAAATCAGGTGTGGTAGGTATGGTAGCCAGCCAGGCCACCCCACCCCACCCCACCCACATGATAAAATGCACATACTGTACACTCATTACCTACCTTAAAATATTTGTAGTCTTAATGTAGGGTGAGAGGTGAATAGTATTTATTTATAGAATGTCAGGTGTGGTAGGTATGGTAGCCCATCTTGTCACCCCACCCACACATAATAAATTATGACATTTAAAGTGCCCTAGAACGATAAAATGCATATACAGTACACTCATTACTTTGTTTTTCAACAAGTTGGCCGTCTCCCACCAAGGCAGGGTGACCCAAAAAGAAAATGCTTTCATCATCATTCAACACTTTCACCTCACTCATACATAATCACTGTCTTTGCAGAGGTGTCCAGATACAACAGTTTAGAAGCATATATAAAGATATATAACATATTCCTCCAAACTGCCAATATCTCAAAACCCCTCCTTTAAAGTGCAGGCATTGTACTTCCCATTTCCAATACTCAAGCCCAGCTATATAAAAATCACTGGTTTCCCTGAATCCCTTCACCATATATTACCCTGCTCACACTCCAACAGCTCGTCAGGGCCCAAAAACCATTCGTCTCCATTCACTCCTATATAACACGCTCATATACACTTGCTGGAAGTCCAAGCCCCTCGCCCACAAAACCTCCTTTACCCTCTCACTCCATCCATTTTGAGGCTGACCCCAACCCCGCCTTCCTTCCCCTACAGATTTATACGCTCTCCAAGTCATTCTCCTTTGATCCATTCTCTCTAAATGGCCAAACCACCTCAACAATCCCTCTTCAGCCCTCTGACTAATACCTTTATTAACTCCACACTTTCTCCTAATTTCCACACTCTGAATTCTCTGCATAATATTTACACCACACACTGCCCTTAGACAGGACATCTCCACTGCCTCCAGCCACCTCCATGCTGCAGCATTTACAACCCAAGCTTCACACCCATATAAGAGTGTTGGTACCACTATACTTTCACACATTCCCCTCTTTGTCTCCATGGATAATGTTTTTTGTCTCCGCAAATACCTCAACACACGCTCACCTTTTTTCCTTCATCAATTCTATGATTAACCTTATCCTTCATAAACCCATCTGCTGACACATCAACTGCCAAATATCTGAAAACATTCACTTCTTCCATACTCCCTCTCCCTAATGTGATATCCAATTTTTCTCTATCTAAATCGTTTGATACCCTCATCGCCTTACTCTTATCTATGTTCCTTTCAACTTTCTACCTTTACACACCCTCCCAAAGTCGTCCACTAACTTTTGCAACTTTTCTTCATAATCTCCCATAAGCACCGTATCATCAGGAAAAAGAAATTGTCAACTCCCATTTTGTATTTGATTCCCCATAATTTAATCCCACCCCTCTCCCCAACATCCTAGCATTTACTTCTTTCACAACCCCATCTATAAATATATTAAACAACCATGGTGACATTACACATCCCTGTCTAAGACCTACTTTTACCGGGAAGTAATCTCCCTCTCTCCTAAAATATTTGTAGTCTTAATGAAGGGCGAGAGGCGAGTCAACGAGATAAAAATGAATAAACAAGAGAGAGAGAGAACGAGTACAGTGAACCCTTGGTTTTCGTGATTAATCCGTTCCAGAGAGTCTGCCGAAAACCAAAATTCACCAAAACCAAAAACATTTACATACAGAAAAGAATGACAAATAAATATAAAGCACTAATAAAATGTATAATGAACATTTAACATCAGACTTACCTTTATTGAAGACTCTTGTTGGTGTATGGAAGACAGGGAGGGGGGGGGTGAGTTTATTGTTTGAAGACAGGACAAAATGCTTGAATATGATGCTAATATCAATTCTACGGGTTATTTATCTATCACAATTCATCTAATATGACATAATAAACAATATTAATAACATAGAAACATGATATATACAGTGGACCCCCGCATAACGATTACCTCCGAATGTGACCAATTATGTAAGTGTATTTATGTAAGTGCATTTGTACGTGTATGTTTGGGGGTCTGAAATGGACTAATCTACTTCACAATATTTCTTATGGGAACAAATTCGGTCGGTACTGGCACCTGAACATACTTCTGGAGTGAAAAAATATCGTTAACCGGGGGTCCACTGTACTCTAGAATGAATAAAATATGTCATACGTATGTGAGGAGAAAGTGGTGGTGGTGGTGTTGTTGGGTTTATAAGAGCCGTACATATTAGTGGTGGTGGAGGTGGCAGCAGAGGCAGCCATGTTGTCAGTGGCCCTATATACTTCCAATAACATTGGATGAGTTAGTTTCGTGTCCTTTTTCTATTGCTTAATCACTTTGATACACTGTTAATGCTACGCTTTATCACTGGCTGGGGCTATAGCCTTTATCGACTCCTGCTGCTTTAGTATCGTACATATCGTAGAATCACTGAAGAAGGTACATTCTCCCTTCTTTCTCCTCCACTTTGGTACTTTGCTACGAGTTTTTTCTTGAATTCTATTGTGTTTCTCACCTTCTTTACCATAGGGCTGGCACTAGGAGCTTTCTTTTGGCCCATGGTGGCTTATTTAGCAGTTGCAAGCACAAAAAACACTGGATTATTGCAAAATGTTTCTTATGAATGTAGGGTGTGATGCTCACTCACCCAGAAACAATGCCAGACTGGTGTTGAGTGCGTCTGTGGCATGCTTTGTGTGTGCGGGGCCACTGGGACACATACCGTACCACCGCCAAAATCCAAGGGAAATCACGAAAACCAAGGCTATATTTTGACAAAAAAAAAAGTTGCCGATAACCAAAATTTATGATAACCAAGACTCATAAAAACCAAGGGTCCACTGCAGAGCACGTAAACAAGCAGACGAACGCGGCTGGTGGGCTGATACACATTCATTTCCATATTTGTAAAGCTTATTTCATAATACAAACACCTTACATTGTGTACAAGTTGTTTCCATGTTGGTACAGTAGAATAAATAAAGAGCAACACTCCCATTCTCATGTAACACGCCATTTTTAGAAGGAATGACGCTCTGAGTGAAGGCATACGAAAGGATTAACATTTACCCCCAGTAATACTATTGTGTACACATTTTCTTTGGTGTTGGACTAGAGAAAACGTTATTCTTTCCAACACTCTGGCAAGACGACTGGAAAAATATAAAAAATATTTTAAAAAAATATAGGTGGATTAAGCAAATGTCTATATTAACGTTTTATACGACATTTAACATGCCTCAGAGTGATTGTGTTATTATTATTATCATTATTAATATGGCATCAAGACTAATAAGACACTCTTAGTGATTTTAATGTGTACCTGCATGTCAGCACAGTAAATTTAGATAGGTACAGGTACACAAGTATAATTATCAGAGTACATATATATAAAATATGAAATAACTTTAAAACACTTGAAATTTTGGAAAGTTTCCAGACATAATGAGAGATGTGGTGCTCACAGAGAATGTAAACAAACCGGGTGGCCCCTGGTGACTATATTAGAAAGTCAGCTGGGGGGAGCAGTATAGCAAGTTTTGGTCATAATTTGAAATGTCCATATTGGCAGAAAGCCACAAGGTGAAATGCCATAAAGCGAGGCCCTACTGTACATAACACAAGACAAAATTTTTTAATTTTATCTAGACATCACAGTTATACATGAATATGCAATAGTCAGCAAAGGCTATACAAGAAATTTTACAAATGACAAAATAACATATAGCACCAGTAACTGTAGCTCACTGAGTATACAGTCTCAGAACACTATTATGTACATAGCTAGTATACATGCAAAGAATAAGTTATAATACCACAAATGGAACAAATAACAACAAAAGCAAAAAGACACATGTTGCACATTTTTTTTTATGGGGACATATTGTTTTGTATGGGCTAGTAACCCCTTCTCCTGTATATATTACTAAATTTGAAAGGAGAAACTTTGGTTTTTCCTTTTGGGCTACCCCACCTCGGTGGGATACGGCTGGTACGTTGAAAGAAATGAAAGATATTGTTTTCTAGAACTTCATCAAGCCATCACCTTATTACCACTCTACACAGGGGAAAATGTTATTCCAATAAAAGCCTGTTCTGCAATGCTTGTCTTTTAATGACTATTTTAGGCAATGTACCATTTGAATGTAAACCACAAGCTCAAAAAATTTGAAATGAAAAGTGAACAATGTTTCTATCCATCCTTAACACTATCAAATCATGAATGAATATCAAAATGAAAATGGTTTGTTGTGGCTAATATACACACAATAGATACAGAACAATAGAGAACAAACTTACCCATTTGCAACTTTGAGTTTTCCACAGGAAACTTTGTCAATATCTGCACTAACTGGTCCTTTTTTCAACTCCTCTTCTGCTTTGGCTATATTAAATAAAATAAAATAATGTAATATGAATAAATAAACCAATAGGTACATACACGTGTTGTGAATTTTTGTTTTATAATATGTTTATATCAATACTTCAACTAGCATATAAACATTTTTGGCAGAACTAAATATAAAGCCATTACAAGTTTAAGACTCGAAATTGTTAATACATTAGCAGCGTCTAAAAATGTAAGATACTGAATGTCTATAATTAAATACTCGAGTCCTGGAGGTGGGAAGTACAGAGCCTGCACTCTAAAGGAGAGGTTTGGGATATTTGCTTTTCAGAGTGACATCTAAACTGTTGTATCTGCATGCCTCTGGCAAGACAGTGATAGTGTAAATGATGGTGAAATTTTTTTTTTTTGGTTCACCCTGCCTCAGTAGATGACCAGCGTGTTAAAAAAATGAATAAAATATGATATACGTAAGATGTGGTATAATTGAAGAACTGAGATTAAAATATGTATTAGAAAAAAATTTACACACAAATCTGGTCTAACACAGGAGAGTTAGTGTATGCATAAGTGTGTGTAACGAAATGAATGAGCATGCATGCAGCATGTGGTTGGTGACTATTTTCTTAAAAATAAATTACAGGTTTTCCTTGCTTTATATGGTTTTGCTGCTATTATGTAAAGTCCCATTTCTATACGTGCAAAATATATATACACTGTACATAATCTGTGAAGTTTGTAAAGTATACTGAAGATTCCTATTATATAAAAATAAGGGGTGATAAATGTATGAAAGAGGGGAAGGTACCTAGGGATTGGCGGAGAGCATGTATAGTCCCTTTATATAAAGGGAAAGGGGACAAAAGAGATTGAAAAAATTATAGAGGAATAAGTTTATTGAGTATACCAGGAAAAGTGTACGGTAGGGTTATAATTGAAAGAATTAGAGGCAAGACAGAATGTAGGATTGCGGATGAGCAAGGAGGTTTCAGAGTGGGTAGGGGATGTGTAGATCGAGTGTTTACATTGAAGCATATATGTGGACAGTATTTAGATAAAGGTAGGGAAGTTTTTATTGCATTTATGGATTTAGAAAAGGCATATGATAGAGTGGATAGGGGAGCAATGTGGCAGATGTTGCAAGTATATGGAATAGGTGGTAAGTTACTAAATGCTGTAAAGAGTTTTTATGAGGATAGTGAGGCTCAGGTTAGGGTGTGTAGAAGAGAGGGAGACTACTTCCCAGTAAAAGTAGGTCTTAGACAGGGATGTGTAATGTCACCATGGTTGTTTAATATATTTATAGATGGGGTTGTAAAAGAAGTAAATGCTAGGTGTTCGGGAGAGGGGTGGGATTAAATTATGGGGAATCAAATTCAAAATGGGAATTAACACAGTTACTTTTTGCTGATAATACTGTGCTTATGGGAGATTCTAAAGAAAAATTGCAAAGGTTAGTGGATGAGTTTGGGAATGTGTGTAAAGGTAGAAAGTTGAAAGTGAACATAGAAAAGAGTAAGGTGATGAGGGTATCAAATGATTTAGATAAAGAAAAATTGGATATCAAATTGAGGAGGAGGTGTATGGAAGAAGTGAATGTTTTCAGATACTTGGGAGTTGACGTGTCGGCGGATGGATTTATGAAGGATGAGGTTAATCATAGAATTGATGAGGGAAAAAAGGTGAGTGGTGCATCGAGGTATATGTGGAGTCAAAAAACGTTATCTATGGAGGCAAAGAATTCCCGGGAATGTATGAAAGTATAGTAGTACCAACACTCTTATATGGGTGTGAAGCTTGGGTGGTAAATGCAGCAGCGAGGAGACGGTTGGAGGCAGTGGAGATGTCCTGTCTAAGGGCAATGTGTGGTGTAAATATTATGCAGAAAATTCGGAGTGTGGAAATTTGGAAAAGGTGTGGAGTTAGTAAAAGTATTAGTCAGAGGGCAGAAGAGGGGTTGTTGAGGTGGTTTGGTCATTTAGAGAGATTGGATCAAAGTAGAATGACATGGAAAGCATATAAATCTATAGGGCAAGGAAGGCGAGGTAGGGGTCGTCCTCGAAAGGGGTGGAGAGAGGGGGTAAAGGAGGTTTTGTGGGCAAGAGGCTTGGACTTCCAGCAAGCGTGCGTGAGCGTGTTAGATAGGAGTGAATGGAGACGAATGATACTTGGGACCTGACGATCTGTTGGAGTGTGAGCAGGGTAATATTTAGTGAAGGGATTCAGGGAAACCGGTTATTTTCATATAGTCGGACTTGAGTCCTGGAAATGGGAAGTACAATGCCTGCACTTTAAAGAAGGAGTTTGGGATATTGGCAGTTTGGAGGGATATGTTGTGTATCTTTATACGTATATGCTTCTAAACTGTTGTATTCTGAGCACCTCTGTAAAAACCGTGATTATGTGTGAGTGTGGTGAAAGTGTTGAATGATGATGAAAGCATTTTCTTTTTGGGGATTTTCTTTCTTTTTTGGGTCACTCTGCCTCGGTGGGAGACGGCCGACTTGTTGAGAGAGAAAAAAAAAAAGGGGGGGTGATAGCCTCAGTAAGCTTAGTACAGCTGTCATTGGCCTGAAACACATCTGCTACATAAAGTGAAGGGCAACAGTATCATTAAAAATAAATACTTATGCAGAGTTGATGCTAGGGGCAGAGTGGGTTGTTGAGAGTGACTAGTCACACCGGAAAGGATGGAACAAAATGGGTTGGCCAGTGGTGGCAAGAGAGGTAGGGGTCATCTCAGTATGAGCTGGGGAAAGGGCCAACAGTCCAGGATAGGCTATCCTTCTGGGGACAGCTAACCCATCCCCCTCTCCTCTCCCTTCTCCAAGGATGGGGCTTCCCTTCATGGCTCACAGACTACCTACTAACAACCCTCCACTCCTTCCCCAGTGAGCCAACAGCTCACATTTTAACACAATGTAAATAATAAATCTACATTTATTGCTCAATCTTTTCCCCCCAAAATATAAAGCCTTCATACATGCATGAAATAAACGTTCGCAAAGTATGAATTCATTTGGTAAAAAAATAATCGAGGAAAAAATACGTGGAATTTGCTAGGTCTGAGAACAAATCCCTGTCTTTTATATGTTATCAGGAATCCGCTATATGCAATTTTGCCTTATGCGCCATCAGCCAGGAATATACCTATCAAAGTGTAGGGGACACTTGTACTCCAATACAAACACTTGGTCTATATATCCCCTACCTGTCGTAAATCCTCTTTGTTCCTCTGTATTCCTACTTTCTCTTTTACCCCTCTTGTAGTACTGTACAGTGCATGTTCTAATGCTCTCAGTAAAAAAAATTTCAACCCCTTAACTGTCCAAACGTAGATCTACGTTCTTACAGCTAGTGCTCCAAATGTAGATCTACATTTTATTTTTCCTGCCTCCCAAATTGGCACAAGTGGCCTGAGATGCCTGGTCAGCATAGAATGGGTCTTATCACTCAGTGTGCGCAGCATTAAAAAAATCTGGAACCACTTAGTACTTACCATGTGGGAGCACCAGTTCAGTTGAGCACCATGTTGAACAACACGTCAAAACCAGGGATTCACTGATGTCATATTGTACTAACATTCCCCTTTTAAGAGGAAAGTGATGTTAACCCTGAGTTTAGTGGCTCTGAGGTGAATGTGGCCACAAATGGTCAAGGAAATATCAAAAACCTTGATAATAACCCATGTGCAACATTTGTGCAACACCCTTTCAATTTTGGTACCACTGGTAGTGTCACTCTACCAGAATGTCCTATAACCTATGCCCTAAGTAAAAAGAAACAATCCTCGAATGCGTACTACGTGTTCGGCAGGCTGGCTGGCTGGCTGATTGGAAGTCTCTATCTCCATCTGTCTGTATCTATATCTCTTTCTCTGTCTATCTCTGTCTCACAGCTACATATAAATACAATTATACATAGTGTAAATTACTTAGGATAACCCAAAAAATCCAGACAAAGTGCTATACTGTGTTTGTAGATATAATGCATAATAAGCACAACTGGCAAGTAATACGCATTTTCACTTGTTCGGGAATCAAGTGTGACTACTCTCTATGGTGTGTAATACCTGTTGGTTCACAAGTCGCTCTCTCTCTCTCTAAGACAGAGAGACAACTAAACAGAGGCAGAAAGACACATAAGCAGAGACAGAGATAAACAGAGTTAGACAGACAGAATGTTTACGTGTAACAGTGAAAACAAATAAAGCCAAGGCAGTGCATGTCCATCAAATGTGACTGCACTGTCAGCAGTGGAATGACACTCATCTTACACCATGCTTCAAGGAAACTTATTGTATTGTTATTATTATATACTCTGCATGTCCAAAACATTGCTGGGACCTATAAACACTATGTACATATTTCTAGACAACAGTATGACTAAGGTAGGTGAAAATGTTCAATACCACTGTGTTTGTGACTATTTGAGTACTATTTCAGTACCTAATATTAGTGTCAGAACAAAGATTGGCTTTGAAATCACAAAAAGTACTACAAATTGTAATTATCAGAACATAAAAATTATATAAATTAAAAAATGAGAAAAATGGTACATCGGCAACATTTCTGCAAGCAGCAGCACTTCGTGTTGCCATCAGGTTAGTGACAAGTGCCGACTTTGCGGCCTTATATCTCCATAAGTACTGACTAAATTTTTTTTTTTACATTAATTTATGTAACAAAAAAAAATGTCCTAGTTTAAAAAAAAAAAAAAAAAAAAAGTTTTTTTTTTTTTTTTTTCCAAAAAAATTCAGAGCGCTGAGCGAGAGAACGTAGATCTACATTTGGAAAGTTAGAATTTTCCAACATTGAAAGCCAAAGCATAAATAGCAGATATTACCACTTACAGGTTTATGAGAGCCTGTCAGAAAAAATAAAGGAACATCTTTTCAAAGTAACTATTATGTCACGACAGAAACTGCATGGACAAAAAAGATTGCAGACAGTATTCCTTTCATAAGAAAACATATTAGGTTTGTGAAATACAATGCTGCAGGTATTGTAACACCCTCCAGGTAGGCTGACAGATCAACCAGGTTGTGATGGATATATGGGCCAGTAATAGCCTAGTTGATCAGGCAAGCACCAAGTAAGCCAGGCAGGCTTGGTTATAAGAGCAGGAATGATAGAACCCACAAAGGAGCAATTCTGGAAAGTGGCAAGTTAAGAGGAGAGGCAGGAGCTAGTACCTGACTTGCCACTACATATAGGTAAGTACATGGCTAGGCTGCAGAAGTAGGAAAAAAAAACTTGAGCTGGTCACCAGCACATCACAGGTGTGTAGTCATACACTATTGCAAAGTTTAGCATAACTGTCTTGCAGGAGGTGCACAGACATCACAGCTCCATTGACCCTCTGAACTGCAAAATCCCTGCCCACTGTTCCATATTCTCCACATCCAGAATTCAAGTTGGCTAGCAATAATTCTAATAAATTAAAAGGATGGGACACCATAAGCATAGGTCTATTTCTAGCCACAAATAAGTAATTACACACAGAAACAATGAAATTGTTACACTTTAAGACAAGTTACCTTTCAGAATGTTTGATTTGAATTGATCGGGAGGAATTGGGCGAGCAGTGTTCTTCGTAAGAGTGGCTTGATTGTTGGGAATAACCACCACATTGATATCCTTTACTTTGGTGGTGAGTGATGTAATTTTTGCTCCAGTAATACTACTGCTGTTGCAACAGTCTAGATTTTTCATCTTGTTCACCATTATCTCTGCTTCTGTTATGATGATGGTAAGCAAAATATTTCTTTTTATTTCTTTAGAGTGGTATATACTGACTGAAAATTCAGCAGATTTACCTCTTTTTTTTTTAATATATACTGTACTAAGAGGGTCATATAAATAACTATACATAACATTTACAATTATTAAATGATTAAAGATAAATAAGAAGAAATTATATGTATATAAAATAAATTCAGCATTAATTTATAGTGGATTAGTTAAAAATTCAGTGTGGGTCATGCAGTAGTCATGAGTGTTGTTTTACTGGATTAAATATGTATTAATTTGGTAGAATTACCGACAATATGTTAGGTAAAAGGACACAAGTGCAACTAATGTGACATTTTATTGTGGTGATGTTTTGCTCTCCAGGAGCTCTATCAAGCTCCTGGAGAGTGAAACGTCACCACAATAAAGTGTCACATTAGTTGCACATGTGTCCTTTTACCTAACAATAGATTAAATATTTTTGTGTGTAAGTCTTGAACATTCAATATATGAATTAAACAAGGCAGTTCAAGAAAATTATCACTTCAATTAATATGTTTTAAAAATTATTTTTGCTTATGTAGAAAGCCTGGAATAATACTTTCTTTACACTATAGGAGAGAGATTCTGGCAAGTGGCAATTTGAGAGGCAGGGCCAGAGGCTAAGACTCAACCCCTGCAACCATATATAGGCATACAGCCCAATCATCTGGCAGTCTGTAAATGATCCTATGATGTATTTTCCCCACTTCTTTCATGAAGTATTATTTCTGTTAATTTCAAATCTGAGCCTCTTACTTGCATGCAGTGCAATGTAATGTATATAATGTAAGTACAAACTGTTAAGTTACACTATAATCATTTGAAGCTCAATTTTGTTTTTCAGCATGAATACTATAATGTGATTTTAGTACTAATACCTTTTCTAGAGATTTTGTGTTACCAAACATTGACTGAATATCATTCTGCCCTCTAAAACCCCCTTCCTACTATGGAGCAAATAGCAATTGCTGATCAAATATGTTAGCAGTTTTTCCTTATAGTGTTCTACAATATATCTTTGTATACCAGCATTCAATCCAAGAGCTATGAAGAAACATACAATCAGATAAAAAAAATACTCCAGGGCATATACAGACATATACAGTGTAGAAAAAAAGATAGTAGAGTTGAAAGAATAATAAGTGGGCAAAGTTAGAAACTTCACACCCAAATAAACCACAGAGATCTTTCTTCTTTCTTTCAACAAACTGGCCATATCCCACAGAGGCAGGGTGGCCCAAAAAGAAAAACAAGTTTCTCTTTTTAAATTTAGTAATTTATACAGGAGAAGGGGTTACTAGCCCTGGCATTTTAGTTGCCTCTTACAACACGCATAGCTTATGGAGGAAGAATTCTGTTCCACTTCCCCATGGAGATAAGAGGAAATAAACAAGAACAAGAACTAGTAAGAAAATAGAAGAAAACCAAGAGGGGTGTGTATATATATGCTTGTACATGTATGTGTAGTGTGACCTAAGTGTAAGTAGAAGTAGCAAGACATACCTGAAACCTTGCATGTTTATGAGACAGAAAAATGGACACCAGCAATCCTACCATCATGTGAAACAATTACAGGATTTCGTTTTACACTCACTTGGCAGGACAGTAGTACCTCCCTAGGCGGTTGCTGTCTACCAACCTACTACCTAGAAAACCACAGATGTCAGAAAAAAAAATACCCTCAATATAAAAGTGATAAATAAGCAGAATGACCTGATCAGTACAACAGAAGTGAATTCTAAGCAAGGATTAAAATAGATAGGACAAGAATCATTTACATCAGCCAAAAGATAAGAAACAGTAACAAGAGCTGTAGTTCAACATTCCTGGATAAACTCTCATATGTAATTACACACAAACAATATTTCCAAGAATTTTTTTTTTTTTATTATCACACTGGCCGATTCCCACCAAGGCAGGGTGGCCTGAAAAAGAAAAACTTTCACCATCATTCACTCCATCACTGTCTTGCCAGAAGGGTGCTTTACACTACAGTTTTTAAACTGCAACATTAACACCCCTCCTTCAGAGTGCAGGCACTGTACCTCCCATCTCCAGGACTCAAGTCCGGCCTGCCGGTTTCCCTGAATCCCTTCATAAATGTTACTTTGCTCACACTCCAACAGCACGTCAAGTATTAAAAACCATTTGTCTCCATTCACTCCTATCAAACACGCTCACGCATGCCTGCTGGAAGTCCAAGCCCCTCGCACACAAAACCTCCTTTACCCCCCCTCCAACCTTTCCTAGGCCGACCCCTACCCCCCGCCTTCCTTCCACTACAGACTGATACACTCTTGAAGTCATTCTGTTTCGCTCCATTCTCTCTACATGTCCGAACCACCTCAACAACCCTTCCTCAGCCCTCTGGACAACAGTTTTGGTAATCCCGCACCTCCTCCTAACTTCCAAACTACGAATTCTCTGCATTATATTCACACCACACATTGCCCTCAGACATGACATCTCCACTGCCTCCAGCCTTCTCCTCGCTGCAACATTCATCACCCACGCTTCACACCCATATAAGAGCGTTGGTAAAACTATACTCTCATACATTCCCCTCTTTGCCTCCAAGGACAAAGTTCTTTGTCTCCACAAACTCCTAAGTGCACCACTCACTCTTTTTCCCTCATCAATTCTATGATTCACCTCATCTTTCATAGACCCATCCGCTGACACGTCCACTCCCAAATATCTGAATACGTTCACCTCCTCCATACTCTCTCCCTCCAATCTGATATTCAATCTTTCATCACCTAATCTTTTTGTTATCCTCATAACCTTACTCTTTCCTGTATTCACCTTTAATTTTCTTCTTTTGCACACCCTACCAAATTCATCCACCAATCTCTGCAACTTCTCTTCAGAATCTCCCAAGAGCACAGTGTCATCAGCAAAGAGCAGCTGTGACAACTCCCACTTTGTGTGTGATTCTTATCTTTTAACTCCACGCCTCTTGCCAAGACCCTCGCATTTACTTCTCTTACAACCCCATCTATAAATATATTAAACAACCACGGTGACATCACACATCCTTGTCTAAGGCCTACTTTTACTGGGAAAAAATTTCCCTCTTTCCTACATACTCTAACTTGAGCCTCACTATCCTCGTAAAAACTCTTCACTGCTTTCAGTAACCTACCTCCTACACCATACACTTGCAACATCTGCCACATTGCCCCCCTATCCACCCTGTCATACGCCTTTTTCCAAATCCATAAATGCCACAAAGACCTCTTTAGCCTTATCTAAATACTGTTCACTTATATGTTTCACTGTAAACACCTGGTCCACACACCCCCTACCTTTCCTAAAGCCTCCTTGTTCATCTGCTATCCTATTCTCCGTCTTACTCTTAATTCTTTCAATTATAAACTCTACCATACACTTTACCAGGTACACTCAACAGACTTATCCCCCTATAATTTTTGCACTCTCTTTTATCCCCTTTGCCTTTATACAAAGGAACTATGCATGCTCTCTGCCAATCCCTAGGTACCTTACCCTCTTCCATACATTTATTAAATAATTGCACCAACCACTCCAAAACTATATCCCCACCTGCTTTTAACATTTCTATCTTTATCCCATCAATCCCGGCTGCCTTACCCCCTTTCATTTTACCTACTGCCTCACGAACTTCCCCCCCACTCACAACTGGCTCTTCTCACTCCTACAAGATGTTATTCCTCCTTGCCCTATACACGAAATCACAGCTTCCCTATCTTCTTCAACATTTAACAATTCCTCAAAATATTCCTTCCATCTTCCCAATACCTCTAACTCTCCATTTAATAACTCTCCTCTCCTATTTTTAACTGACAAATCCATTTGTTCTCTAGGCTTTCTTAACTTGTTAATCTCACTCCAAAACTTTTTCTTATTTTCAACAAAATTTGTTGATAACATCTCACCCACTCTCTCATTTGCTCTCTTTTTACATTGCTTCACCACTCTCTTAACTTCTCTCTTTTTCTCCATATACTCTTCCCTCCTTGCATCACTTCTACTTTGTAAAAACTTCTCATATGCTAACTTTTTCTCCCTTACTGCTCTCTTTACATCATCATTCCACCAATCGCTTCCTCTTCCCTCCTGCACCCACTTTCCTGTAACCACAAACTTCTGCTGAACACTCTAACACTACATTTTTAAACCTACCCCATACCTCTTCGACCCCATTGCCTATGCTCTCATTAGCCCATCTATCCTCCAATAGCTGTTTATATCTTACCCTAACTGCCTCCTCTTTTAGTTTATAAACCTTCACCTCTCTCTTCCCTGATGCTTCTATTCTCCTTGTATCCCATCTACCCTTTACTCTCAGTGTAGCTACAACTAGAAAGTGATCTGATATATCTGTGGCCCCTCTATAAACATGTACATCCTGAAGTCTACTCAACAGTCTTTTATCTACCAATACATAATCCAACAAACTACTGTCATTTCGCCCTACATCATATCGTGTATACTTTATTTATCCTCTTTTTCTTAAAATATGTATTACCTATAACTAAACCCCTTTCTATACAAAGTTCAATCAAAAGGGCTCCCATTATCATTTACACCTGGCACCCCAAACTTACCTACCACACCCTCTCTAAAAGTTTCTCCTACTTTAGCATTCAAGTCCCCTACCACAATTACTCTCTCACTTGGTTCAAAGGCTCCTATACATTCACTTAACATCTCCCAAAATCTCTCTCTCTCCTCTGCATTCCTCTCTTCTCCAGGTGCATACACGCTTATTATGACCACTTCTCGCATCCAACCTTTACTTTAATCCACATAATTCTTGAATTTACACATTCATATTCTCTTTTCTCCTTCCATAACTGATCATTTAACATTACTGCTACCCCTTCCTTTGCTCTAACTCTCTCAGATACTCCAGATTTAATCCCATTTATTTCCCCCCACTGAAACTCTCCTACCCCCTTCAGCTTTGTTTCGCTTAGGGCCAGGACATCCAACTTCTTTTCATTCATAACATCAGCAATCATCTGTTTCTTGTCATCCGCACTACATCCACGCACATTTAAGCAACCCAGTTTTATAAAGTTTTCTTCTCTCTTTTTTAGTAATTGTATACAGGAGAAGGGGTTACTAGCCCATTGCTCCCGGCATTTTAGTCGCCTCATACGACACGCATGGCTTACGGAGGAAAGATTCTTTTCCACTTCCCCATGGACAATAGAAGAAATAAAAAAGAACAAGAGCTATTTAGAAAAAGGAGAAAAACCTAGATGTATGTATATATATATATGCATGTGCGTGTCTGTGAAGTGTGACCAAAGTGTAAGTAGGAGTAGCAAGATATCCCTGTTATCTTAGCGTGTTTATGAGACAGAAAAAGAAACCAGCAATCCTACCATCATGCAAAACAGTTACAGGTTTTTGTTTCACAGTCATCTGGCAGGACGGTAGTACTTCCCTGGGTGGTTGCTGTCACCAAGGAACAGTTATAAGCAATCTTCAGTATATGATAAATTCTGCAGCATATATGAAGATGGCATCAAACAATATATTCTAAACATGGAGGTAATATAACTAACAACAATGAATGGTTTAGTGGAAAGTGCTGCAGAGCTATAAAAAATAAGAAAGAACTTGGAAATTGATATATAAAAATGTTCCTACCCAGAAAATTTGAAGAAATTTTAACAAGCCAGAAATGAACATACAAAACTAACATGGAAAGAAAGAAACTGAAAAAATTAGCAAGATAGAACCTAATATTTTATTGAAATTTGTAAATGGCAATGTGAATATGAATGACAATACCAATTGAGGTGGTTTGGACTTTTAGGAGAGGATGGGAAAATTATATTAAAAGTTAACCTTGAAGGTCTGGTTAAAATTGGTACTGACAAATACTGTACAAAACAAATGTATTTTATTAATAACATATGCTATTGTGTAAAATTAAAGCCAAAAAATCGAAATGCATAATGGAATCATTACTTTTTAATACAAAACAAAAGACTTCAAGACATTCCACTGACAATATACAGGCTATCTGTGTATTGTTCAAGTCATTGTAATGTGCCTTTTTATTCCTTTCCGAATTTAATTGTACTTTTAAAATTAATTTATGGGTTATCTGTAGGGTGAGTGCCATTGGTTAATGTATTTTGGGTGGACATATTTAAACTGACATAATTTAAAAAAAAATGTGCATTAAAATACTCAATTTTTTTATGTACAGTAATAATAGTAATAATTATGGTAGTAGTAATAATTGTAGTAGTGATGGTAGTAGTACTAGTAATAATGGTAGCAGTAATAGTGTAGTAGCAACATAAAATTTAATAATGGTGGTAGTAGTAAGTGCAGTAGTAATATGTATAGTAATAACTGTGGTAATAGTAAGTGTAGTAGTAGAAGTAGAAGTAATAATGGTACTAGTGGTAAATAAGAACAACAGAATGGAAAAGCACTGTAGTGGGCCTACTGGCTTACATTAGGCACAACTAGTTGTTTGTTGGAACATGAGTCGTATATCTTTATGAAAGTGAAAGAGAATTTCAAGAAATGTAACAAGGAAGGGGCAGAATTTGTTAAGAACTTGTAAACTGTTCCAGCCATATTATAATAACTTGTATTCTTCATACTTTGATCGTTAAAATATACTGAAGAACAGTGTTAACATTAAAAAAGAGAATGTCTAACCTCTCCCACTGGCAGTAATACTGTACTTTCACTTGATTACTATGACCAATTAAGTTTCCTTAGAAATAATAATAATTATATATTTTATGACTGGAGCAATGTATATGGCAAAGTGCATCAGCAAGTTTGACATTCATGCTGTCGCATTAAGCACTTCTAATCTAGAAAAGAGTTTATAACTTTTAATGCCACTACAAAAAGCTGTTCCACAAAATTAAATGCATTATAAAGATGCAAAATTTTATAGTAAAAGAAGCAAAGCATAGTCTTCATAAATCTGTTTTCTAACATTCTACAAAAGAAAACTTAAATATAAAGGTGTAGCCAATGTGGATGCACAAGCAGAAAACTTATCAAGAGATCAGACTACACAACTTGAATTCATGCTTCCTAATTCTTGCCAGCACTGCAAAAATCATCCAGTTGCAAGTTTAGAAAAATAAGCAAGTTTTAACTTAGCAGTATTACAATACTAAATGTCAGCAAACTGCAGAACAGGCATTCTACTCAATAATGAGATATTAATAATTATTTCCATTCTACTAAAAACTATGTACAGTATTTTATTCTTTAACACTTTGTTGAAAATATCAAAATAAATTTATCCAGAAAACTTCACACTGAAATTCATTCTGAATTCCTCAAAATAAACATAGACATCTGCCTGAGACTTCCTGTACCAATTTATTTTCCCAAGAATAAGCCTTAGCCAGAAGCAAATCAGCAAAAACACATATTTACCAGACAAAGCAGCCTGTTTTACAGTCATACTGTGCTACTAATTCATGGCAACAGTGATCACTCTTACCTATAGCCCCTGTGGGCTGTGGCAAGGCATCTGCCCCGACCTCTTTCTGACAAGGCTTAGCCCTGGCCAACTCATTGACTGTACTGTCCAAATAGCTTGGTACTGATGTGTCTTTGGCCAAGCTCTTAATCAAGGTGTCTAGCCTGTCTTCAGCAGCATACGTGGCATCTTCTACAGGCCCAGTAGAGCAAGAAAAAGAAAGGATGAGTTGTGAGACATAGGCCATCAGGACAGTGGGTGGTAGGGGAGGGCTGACTATCGTAAGAAAAGGATGGCTGAAATTATTTTAGGAAAGTGGGATGTTTGAGACACAGCTGGGACAGCAACTCAAGACCAGTCCTGGCAGATTGGCACTACTCTAGCAGATTTTATTAGTCCCAAAGACTAATGTAGTTTAGAAAGAAAGTGAAAGATTGTCACATCATGTAAAGTGCTAGCATAACAGTTTGTCAACATCAGAGGATAACTGTTGAGGAGGGACAATGGAGGGTGTAGGAAAGAAGACAGATCTGTATTGCTGCAAAGATTCTCAGCTCAGTCAAGCATTCATATGCCAATCTACAGCAGCATTCAACAAGCAACTGTTGAGTTTAGTAAGGGTAAGTAAGTTCTTTAGCAACTACTGTAAACTCATGAATGTACAGAATTTTACAATAACTTTTAAATTCATTGAAATACAGTAACACCTGTAAAAATACAGAATCATCAAAGCTGAGAACAATTCTCTATAACTGAATTTTCATCTTAAGCATTAAGCAAAACTTTAGTGAACCCCCCATAAAAAAATTAAAAAGACTTATTACTGTCTGTATAATTACAGCTGGATTAAATATGTATCACCTTAGAAGGCACACGAATGTGTAATTACAGCCTAATGTACGATACATTAGAGAATCTTGTTTTCTAAGTACACTTTAAAACTTCATACCTAGTTTCATATTACAACCAAAAATCCATCAATCTTGTTTTTTTATTTTCTTCAAAAAGTCAGGCATCTCCCACCGAAGCAGGGTGACCCAAGAAGCAAGAAAATCCCCAAAAAGAAAATACTTTCATTATTCAACACTTTCACCTCACTCATACACAATCACTGTCTTTGCAGAGGCACTCAGATACAACAGTTCAGAAGTCCCTCCAAACTGTCAATACCCCAGACCCCTCCTTCAAAGTGCAGGCATTGTACTTCCCATTTCCAGGACACAAGTCCGGCTAAATCTATAATAACCGGTTTCCCTGAATCCCTTCACTAAATATTACCCTGCTCACACTCCAACAGCTTGTTAAGTCCCAAAAACCATTCGTCTCCAATTACACCTATCTAACACGCTCGCACACGCTTGCTGGAAGTCCAAGCCCCTTTCCCACAAAACCTCCTTTACCCCCTCCCTCCAACCTTTTAGAGGACAATCCCTACCCCTTCTTCCTTCCCCTACAGATTTATATGCTCTCCAAGTCATTCTACTTTGATCCATTCTCTCTGAATGACCAAACCACCTCAACAACCCCTCTTCAGCCCTCTGACTAATACTTTTAGTAACACCACACCTCCTCCTGATTTCCACACTCCGAATTCTCTGCATAATATTTACACCACACACTGCCCTTAGACAGGACATCTCCACTGCCTCCAGCCGCCTCCTCGCTGCAGCATTTACAACCCAAGCTTCACACCCACTATACTTTCATACATTTCCTTCTTTGCCTCCAAAGATAATGTTTTTTTGTCTCCAGATACCTGAATGCACCACTCACCTTTTTTCCTTCATTAATTCTATGGTTAACCTCATCCTTCATAAACCCATCCACTGACAAGTCAACTCCCAAATATCTGAAATTATTCACTTCTTCCATAATCCCTCTCTCCAATGTGATATCCATTTTTTTTTTTTTTTTTCAACAAGTCGGTCGTCTCCCACCGAGGCAGGGTGACCCAAAAAAGAAAGAAAATCCCCAAAAAGAAAATACTTTCATCATCATTCAACACTTTCACCACACTCACACATTATCACTGCTTTTGCAGAGGTGCTCAGAATACAACAGTTTAGAAGCATATACGTATAAAGATACACAACATATCCCTCCAAACTGCCAATATCCCAAACCACTCCTTTAAAGTGCAGGCATTGTACTTCCCATTTCCAGGACTCAAGTCCAACTATATGAAAATAACCGGTTTCCCTGAATCCCTTCACTAAATATTACCCTGCTCACACTCCAACAGATCGTCAGGTCCCAAGTATCATTCGTCTCCATTCACTCCTATCTAACACGCTCATGCACGCTTGCTGGAAGTCCAAGCCCCTCGCCCACAAAACCTCCTTTACCCCCTCTTTCCAACCCTTTCGAGGACGACCCCTACCCCTCTTTCCTTCCCCTATAGATTTATATGCTTTCCATGTCATTCTACTTTGATCCATTCTCTCTAAATGACCAAACCACCTCAACAACCCCTCTTCTGCCCTCTGACTAATACTTTTATTAACTCCACACCTTCTCCTAATTTCCACACTCCGAATTTTCTGCATAATATTTACACCACACATTGCCCTTAGACAGGACATCTCCACTGCCTCCAACCGTCTCCTCGCTGCTGCATTTACCACCCAAGCTTCACGTCCATATAAGAGTGTTGGTACTACTATACTTTCATACATTCCCTTCTTTGCCTCCATAGATAACGTTTTTTGACTCCACATATACCTCAACGCACCACTCACCTTTTTTCCCTCATCAATTCTATGATTAACCTCATCCTTCATAAATCCATCCGCCGACACGTCAACTCCCAAGTATCTGAAAACATTCACTTCTTCCATACTCCTCCTCCCCAATTTGATATCCAATTTTTCTTTATCTAAATCATTTGATACCCTCATCACCTTACTCTTTTCTATGTTCACTTTCAACTTTCTACCTTTACACACATTCTCAAACTCATCCACTAACCTTTGCAATTTTTCTTTAGAATCTCCCATAAGCATAATATCATCTGCAAAAAGTAACTGTGTCAATTCCCATTTTGAATTTGATTCCCCATAATTTAATCCCACCCCTCTCCCGAACACCCTAGCATTTACTTTTTACAACCCCATCTATAAATATATTAAACAACCATGGTGACATTACACATCCCTGTCTAAGACCTACCTTTACCGGGAAGTATTCTCCCTCTCTTCTACACACCCTAACCTGAGCCATACTATCCTCATAAAAGCTCTTTACAGCATTTAATAACTTACCACCTATTCCATAAACTTGCAACATCTGCCACATTGCTCCTCTATCCACTATCATATGCCTTTTCTAAATCCATAAATGCAATAAAAACTTCCCTACCTTTATCTAAATACTGTTCACATATATGCTTCAATGTAAACACTTGATCTACACATCCCCTACCCACTCTGAAGCCTCCTTGCTCATCCGCAATTCTACATTCTGTCTTACCTCTAATTCTTTCAGTTATAACTCTACTGTATACTTTTCCTGGTATACTCAGTAAACTTATTCCTCTATAATTTTTACAATCTCTTTTGTCCCCTTTCCCTTTATATAAAGGGACTATACATGCTCTCTGCCAATCCCTAGGTACCTTCCCCTCTTTCATACATTTATTAAACAAAAGTACCAACCACTCCAACACTATATCCCCCCTGCTTTTAACATTTCTGTCATGATCCCATCAGTTCCAGCTGCTTTACCCCCTTTCATTCTACGTAATGCCTCACGTACCTCCACCACACTTACATTCTGCTCTTCTTCACTCCTAAAAGATGGTATACCTCCCTGGCCAGTGCATGAAATTACCGCCTCCCTTTCTTCCTCAACATTTGAAAGTTCCTCAAAATATTCTCGCCATCTACCTAATACCTCCCTCTCCCCATCTACTAACTCCCCTACTCTGTTTTTAATGGACAAATCCATACTTTCCCTAGGCTTTCTTAACTTGTTTAACTCACTCCAAAATTTTTTCTTATTTTCATTAAAATTTCTTGACAGTGCCTCTCCCACTCTTTCATCTGCTCTCCTTTTGCACTCTCTCACCACTCTCTTCACCTTTCTTTTACTCTCCATATACTCTGCTCTTCTTATAACACTTCTGCTTTGTAAAAACCTCTCGTAAGCTACCTGTTTCTCTTTTATCACACCCTTTACTTCATTATTCCACCAATCACTCCTCTTTCCTCCTGCCCCCACCCTCCTATAACCACAAACTTCTGCCACACATTCTAATACTGCATTTTTAAAACTATTCCAACCCTCTTCAACCCCCCACACTACTCATCTTTACACTAGCCCACCTTTCTGCCAATAGTCGCTTATATCTCGCCCGAACTTCCTCCTCCCTTAGTTTATACACTTTCACCTCCCTCTTACTTGTTGTTGCCACCTTCCTCTTTTCCCATCTACCTCTTACTCTAACTGTAGCTACAACTAAATAATGATCTGACATATCAGTTGCCCCTCTATAAACATGTACATCCTGGAGCCTACCCATCAACCTTTTATCCACCAATACATAATCTAACAAACTACTTTCATTACGTGCTACATCATACCTTGTATATTTATTTATCCTCTTTTTCATAAAATATGTATTACTTATTACCAAATTTCTTTCTACACATAGCTCAATTAAAGGTTCCCCATTTACATTTACCCCTGGCACCCCAAATTTACCTACTACTCCCTCCATAACATTTTTACCCACTTAGCATTGAAATCCCCAACCACCATTACTCTCACACTTGATTCAAAACTCCCCACGCATTCACTCAACATTTCCCAGAATGTCTCTCTCTCCTCTACACTTCTTTCTTCTCCAGGTGCATACACGCTTACTATAACCCACTTTTCACATCCAATCTTTATTTTACTCCACATAATCCTTGAATTTATGCATTTGTAGTCCCTCTTTTCCTGCCATAGCTTATCCTTCAACATTATTGCTACTCCTTCTTTAGCTCTAACTCTATTTGAAACCCCTGACCTAATCCCATTTATTCCTCTCCATTGAAACTCTCCCACCCCCTTCAGCTTTGTTTCACTTAAAGCCAGGACATCCAGTTTCTTCTCATTCATTTTTTTTTATTTTTTTATTATCACACCGGCCGATTCCCACCAAGGCAGGGTGGCCCGAAAAAGAAAAACTTTCACCATCATTCACTCCATCACTGTCTTGCCAGAAGGGTGCTTTACACTACAGTTTTTAAACTGCAACATTAACACCCCTCCTTCAGAGTGCAGGCACTGTACTTCCCATCTCCAGGACTCAAGTCCGGCCTGCCGGTTTCCCTGAATCCCTTCATAAATGTTACTTTGCTCACACTCCAACAGCACGTCAAGTATTAAAAACCATTTGTCTCCATTCACTCCTATCAAACACGCTCACGCATGCCTGCTGGAAGTCCAAGCCCCTCGCACACAAAACCTCCTTTACCCCCTCCCTCCAACCCTTCCTAGGCCGACCCCTACCCCGCCTTCCTTCCACAATCATCTCTTTCTTATCATTTGCACAACATCCACGCACATTCAGACTTCCCACTTTGACAATTTTCTTCTTCTTATTCTTTTTAGTAATCTTTACAGGAAAAGGGGTTACTAGCCCACTGTTCCCGGCATTTTAGTTGACTTTTACAACACGCATGGCTTACGGAGGAAAGATTCTTATTCCACTTCCCCATGGATATAAAAGGAAAAGTAATAAGACCAAGAACTATTAAGATAAAATCAAAGAAAACTCAGATGAGTGTGTATAAATAAACGTGTACATGTATGTGTAGTGTGACCTAAGTGTAAGTAGAAGTAGCAAGACGTACCTGTAATCTTGCATATTTATGAGACAGACAAAAGACACCAGCAATCCTACCATCATGTAAAACAATTACAGGCTTTCGTTTTACACTCACTTGGCAGGACGGTAGTACCTCCCTGGGTGGTTGCTGTCTACCAACCTACTACCTATAAATATCCAATAAATATCCAATTTCTCTTTATTTAAATCATTTGATATCCTCATCACCTTACTCTTATCTATGTTCACTTTCAACTTTCTACATCAGTCACTTGTGGAAGGAAATTACAGCTACTAAACCAAATTGTGCATGGATAAATCTTTGGCATGCATAAATCATTTCAATGTGTTGTAGTTCTAGAATTTACAAAACATCATGCAACTTTCAAAGCAAACTGAATTGGAAGACATTGAGAAGGCTGATGTGAAGTTGTTGTTGCAAGCAGATGGAAGAAACTTCCAATAAGGAATTAATTTAGGTTCAGCTAGATCAAGCTGAACTGCCAGCTGAGGAGGATGGTGAAGATTCGATCATTTTTCTTTTTTTATTAATACATTGGCTGCTTCCCACCAAGGCAGGATGGCCCAAAAAAGAAAAACTATCATCATCATTCACTCCATCACTGTCTTGCAGAGGCATTCTGACACTACAGTTATAAAACTGCAACATTAACCCTTAAATGGTCCAAACAGATAGACGTTCAAATTCGTAGTGCTCCAAAAGTAGATCTACTTTTTTTTACATATTTTCAAATATAACAAAAAAAATGTAGATAAAAGTTTTTTACACATTTTCAAATGTAAAACAAAAAAGAAGATCTACATTTTTTTTACATACTTTCAGATGTTGAAAAAACATATATACGTATACATTTGGACTGTTTAAGGGTTAAACCCCTCCTTCAGAGTGCCATCACTGTACTTCCCATCTCCAGGAATCAAGTCTGGCCTGCCAATTTCAATCAGTGCTAATGAATTCACTCTACAGAAATTGTGACTATGTAGGTCATAATGAGCCATGGTGAATGTTGCAAATCATATAAGAAGCTTGTAAAGGATTTGAAAACAAAATCTACTTATACAACACTCTGTATAAAGAAAACATCAGTTTTACAAGCACCACTAAAGCAATAGTGTTCTCCAAGCTTTGTGAAGCCCTTGGCATCTTATCCAATGCCAAGCAAGAGTTTTTTCCTTCCATTTTTCATCAAAGAAACAGCTCCTTAAACCTATCTCCTAGCCACTCCTAAACACAAAACCCAATCACCTTCCAATGCTAAGAAATTATATGATGGATTCTAATAGATATTTGGCAAGAGTATAATTATAGCACTTTTATACTATACATAATTAAACATAGGGCCAAATTTTTTCAATTAAATTTTTATTTATATAGTAAGGTTCAATAACTTTCCCCCACTCTATATTAGAGTCATTAAGTAAAGACTCCATCATTCTTTGATATTTGCCTCCATGTATTGCAGGTATCTTTCAATCACATAATAAAGGCTGCTATGAAATTTTATACCTAAGGATAAATATTTCACCTGGTATCAAAATGTCAAAATCATATACTGTACCTGTATTATAGATAATAAATAGAAAATACAAACTACACACACAACTTTGTTAAAATTTCACACGATCTACAAATGTGCACACCCTGAAAAGAAATGGCAGTGTAAGATAAAACTGCAAAGTACAGTACCTGTTTCTTCATTAGATGTTCCAGAAGCTCCAACAATAGCAGCTCCAACAGCACAGGTTGTGGATGTGGTAGACGATGATTGAGAAACTACAGATGAAGTTGATGGGCACGTCAGAGACATGCCACTTGAGGGCATGGGGGAAGAGGGAACATCCAGAGGAGATGGAGGAGGGGTGGTGGTGCAGGATGGAATGGTTGAAGTGCTCGAAGCTGAAAAAGTGGGTTTGGTGACGCTGGAGGTGCTACTGGCACTGCTTGTTGTGGTGGTTGCTGCACTAATAGCAGGCATATCTGAAGTAGAAACAGTTGTAGCAATAATATTAGCTGCAGTAGTGGTTTCATTAATACCAACTACTTTTCCATTTTCTGCCTTTTTTTCTATTACACTTTTACGTTGTTTTTCCCTAACGACGTGACTTTGTCGTCTTGCAAATCGCTGACTTGGTCGACGTTCGAACTGTACTGTGCGCCTGGTACGCTGCTGTAGGGTTGTTTGGAACTCTGTGCGTCCACTGCAATGTGTGTTAAGACAAAGTTTTGAAAACTATTAAATTATATATAGCTGCAATGTTATTTTATAAAGAAATACATAAAAAATATATGTACAGAACAAGTTTTCCATCATAACTTTTACTACACTATAACAGGTATTTATTTTAACTACAAACAAAATAGAAAAAGAATAGTACAAGTAATGGCACAAATCTCAATGGAACAACCACAGAGTGTACTGTACCTGTATCTGAATCGTGAGCCCATTCTAAAGAAATTTTGTCTCCCCGAGGGCCCTTTACTGGGAGCTTTCAAACGGAAAAAGGAATGATGCTCAACTGCACACTTCCATAGGTGTTTACAGGCTTTCTCATTGTGCAATCTGAAAATAATACAGTAGTTTAGAAATACACTTCAAAATAAAGTATAGATACAATCCCCACACCTTCAGGCATGAAACACAGATTGTACTGCGCAATAAGAATGTTCCTACTCTATATTATTTACCCTTACCCTATGTCATAATCTCAATGTAATCTTACAAAGAAATAAATTTTGTTTGTTTGTTTATGGGTGTGAAGCTAGGGTTGTAATTACTGCGGTAAGAAGGCAGCTGGAGGCAGTGGATACGTCCTGTCTAAGGGCAATGTGTGGTGTAAATATTATGCAGAAAATTTGGAGTGTGGAAATTAGGAGGAGGTGTGGAGTTACTAAAAGTATTGCTGGGTAGGAGACGGCCGACTAGATTACAGGCATGTCTTGTTACTTCTACTTACACTTAGGTCACACTACACATACATGTACACGTTTATTTATACACACTCATCGGAGTTTTCTTTGATTTTATCTTAGTTCTTGTTCTAATTACTTTTCCTTTTATATCCATGGGGAAGTGGAATAAGAATCTTTCCTCCGTAAGCCATGCATGTTGTAAAAGTCAACTAAAATGCCGGGAACAATGGGCTAGTAACCCCTTTTCCTGTAAAGATTACTAAAAAAGAGTAAGAAGAAGAAAATTGTCAAAGTGGGAAGTCTGAATGTGCATGGATGTTGTGCAAATGATAAGAAAGAGATGATTGTGGATGTTATGAATGAGAAGAAACTGGATGTCCTGGCTTTAAGTGAAACAAAGCTGAAGGGGGTGGGAGAGTTTCAATGGAGAGGAATAAATGGGATTAGGTCAGGGGTTTCAAATAGAGTTAGAGCTAAAGAAGGAGTAGCAATAATGTTGAAGGATAAGCTATGGCAGGAAAAGAGGGACTACAAATGTATAAATTCAAGGATTATGTGGAGTAAAATAAAGATTGGATGTGAAAAGTGGGTTATAGTAAGTGTGTATGCACCTGGAGAAAAGAGAAGTGTAGAGGAGAGAGAGAGATTGATTCTGGGAAATGTTGAGTGAATGCGTGGGGAGTTTTGAATCAAGTGTGAGAGTAATGGTGGTTGGGGATTTCAATGCTAAAGTGGGTAAAAATGTTATGGAGGGAGTAGTAGGTAAATTTGGGGTGCCAGGGGTAAATGTAAATGGGGAGCCTTTAAACCCTTTGAGGGTCGACAGGCCCTCTCCGAAACTCGTTCTCACGGTCGGCCAAATTTAAAAAAAAACAAAAATTATTTTCTCTTATGAAAAGATAGAGAATCTTTTCCCGATCATAAGGACACCAAAAGTTGGAAATTTGATGGAAAACTTACGGAATTATGCTCTCGCAAAGTTAGCGGTCTCGGCGATGTTTACGCATCGGTAATTTTGCCCACTTTGAGCCCCATTTTCGGCCAATTCCACTGTACTAGTCGACAAAAAACATGAATATTTCGCTAGAACTCCATTTTTTCTATCGAATGGGTGCAAGAAACCACCCATTTATGAAATTCAACTATCCATGTACAGTGGTCAGAATTTAGCAATTTTGCCAATTTCACACAAATTTCAAAAGATGCCAATTTCCGAATAGGGTCCAGAATAAACAAGAAAGACATTCCTGGCACTAAAATGACATTTCCTCTGGTCATTAGTCACATTTCAAGGCCCCTCTTATATTCTTTTGCTTTCCACTTTGAATTTTTATTCTCACAAAAAATATAAGATTTACTGTTACGCAGACTACTGCATTAGTGTAAAAAATGGTATAAATATTATTGGTGCACTTATGAAAGAATATTAGACTCACCAGTTGACGTGTATTGCACGCTTGGCACGATTTGTTTACTTTTGAAATTTGGTAAAAATCGAACATTTCTGCTACTTTGAGCTCAATTTCAAGGTACCTTTCATTGTAAAACTAGTCAAAATCATCTCAATTTCTGTAATATGTCTTCCATTCTATAAAATGAGACCAAGAAAACTAAAATACAACAATAAATACCATACGAAAATACAGTGCAAAGTTGCTGTTTTGTTCCAAAAAAATGGTCAAAGTTTTTTTTTTCTCATTATACACTGTGTGCTGCAGGATTTTTTTTAGACTGTGCACACTGACCACATAGACCCATTCTTTCATATGAAGGCCTACCAGCTTTCTCCCACTAGATTTGAGGGCGCTAGAATTTAGGCGTACTAGTACGTCAAAAACCCTGGGTCGTAAGCCGTACTAGTACGTCCGAAACCCTCAAAGGGTTAAATGAGCTATGTGTAGAAAGAAATTTGGTAATAAGTAATACATATTTTATGAAAAAGAGGATAAATAAATATACAAGGTATGATGTAGCACGTAATGAAAGTAGTTTGTTAGATTATGTATTGGTGGATAAAAGGTTGATGGGTAGGCTCCAGGATGTACATGTTTATAGAGGGGCAACTGATATATCGGATCATTATTTAGTTGTAGCTACAGTTAGAGTAAGAGGTAGATGGGAAAAGAGGAAGGTGGCAACAAGTAAGAGGGAGGTGAAAGTGTATAAACTAAGGGAGGAGGAAGTTCGGGTGAGATATAAGCGACTATTGGCAGAAAGGTGGGCTAGTGCAAAGATGAGTAGTGGGGGGTTGAAGAGGGTTGGAATAGTTTAAAAATGCAGTATTAGAATGTGGGGCAGAAGTTTGTGGTTATAGGAGGGTGGGGGCAGGAGGAAAGAGGAGTGATTGGTGGAATGATGAAGTAAAGGGTGTGATAAAAGAGAAAAAGGTAGCTTATGAGAGGTTTTTACAAAGCAGAAGTGTTATAAGAAGAGCAGAGTATATGGAGAGTAAAAGAAAGGTAAAGAGAGTGGTTGAGAGAGTGCAAAAGGAGAGCAGATGATAGAGTGGGAGAGGCACTGTCAAGAAATTTTAATGAAAATAAGAAAAAATTTTGGAGTGAGTTAAACAAGTTAAGAAAGCCTAGGGAAAATATGGATTTGTCAGTTAAAAACAGAGTTAGGGGAGTTAGTAGATGGGGAGATGGAGGTATTGGGTAGATGGTGAGAATATTTTGAGGAACTTTTAAATGTTTAAGGAAGAAACAGAGGCAGTAATTTCATGCACTGGTCAGGGAGGTATACCATCTTTTAGGAGTGAAGAAGAGCAGAATGTAAGTGTGGGGGAGGTACGTGAGGCATTGCGTAAAATGAAAGGGGGGTAAAGCAGCTGGAACTGATGGGATCATGACAGAAATGTTAAAAGCAGGGGGGGATATAGTGTTGGGGGTTGGTACTTTTGTTTAATAAATGTATGAAAGACGGGAAGGTACCTAGGGATTGGCAGAGAGCATGTATAGTCCCTTTTTATAAAGGGAAGGGGACAAAAGAGACTGTAAAAATTATAGAGGAATAAGCTTACTGAGTATACCAGGAAAAGTGTACGGTAGGGTTATAATTGAAAGAATAGAGGTAAAGACAGAATGTAGGATTGCGGATGAGAAAGGAGGTTTTAGAGTGGGTAGGGGATGTGTAGATCAGGTGTTTACATTGAAGCATATATGTGAACAGTATTTAGATAAAGATAGGGAAGTTTTTATTGCATTTATGGATTTAGAAAAGGCATATGATAGAGTGGATAGAGGAGCAATGTGGCAGATGTTGCAAGTATATGGAATAGGTGGTAAGTTTATTAAATGCTGTAAAGAGTTTTTATGAGGATAGTGAGGGTCAGGTTAGGGTGTGTAGAAGAGAGGGAGACTACTTCCCGGTGTAAAAGTAGGTCTTAGACAGGGATGTGTAATGTCACCATGGTTGTTTAATATATTTATAGATGGGTTGTAAAGGAAGTAAATGCTAGGGTGTTTGGGAGAGGGGTGGGATTAAATTATGGGGAATCAAATTCAAAATGGGAATTGACAGTTACTTTTTGCTGATGATACTGTGCTTATGGGAGATTCTAAAGAAAAATTGCAAAGGTTAGTGGATGAGTTTGAGAATGTGTGTTAAAGGTAGAAAGTTGAAAGTGAACATAGAAAAGAGTAAGGTGATGAGGGTGTCAAATGATTTAGATAAAGAAAAATTGGATATCAAATTGGGGAGGAGGAGTATGGAAGAAGTGAATGTTTTCAGATACTTGGGAGTTGACGTGTCGGCGGATGGATTTATGAAGGATGAGGTTAATCATAGAATTGATGAGGGAAAAAAGGTGAGTGGTGCGTTGAGGTATATGTGGAGTCAAAAAAAACGTTATCTATGGAGGCAAAGAAGGGAATGTATGAAAGTATAGTAGTACCAACACTCTTATATGGATGTGAAGCTTGGGTGGTAAATGCAGCAGCGAGGAGACGGTTGGAGGCAGTGGAGATGTCTGTCTAAGGGCCATGTGTGGTGTAAATATTATGCAGAAAATTCGGAGCGATGAAACTTTAGGAGAGTGTGGAGTTAATTAAAAGCATTAGTCCAAGGCAGAAAGGGTTGTTGAGTGGTTTGGTCAGTTAGAGAGATGGATCAAAGTAGAATACATGGAAACATTAAATCCTATAGGAAGGAAAGAGGGTAGGGTCGTCCACGAAATGGTTGGAAAGAGGGGGTGAAGAGGTTTTGTGGTTGAGGGGCTTGGACTTCCAGCAAGCGTGCATGAGTCGTGTTAGATAGAAGTGAATGGAGAGACGAATGATACATGGGACCTGACGATCTGTTGGAGTGTGAGCAGGGGTAATATTTAGTGAAGGGATTCAAGGGAAACGGTTATTTCATATAGTCAGACTTGAGTCCTGGAAATGGGAAGTACAATCCTGCACTTTAAAGGAGGGTTTGGGATATTGGCATTTGGGAGGATATGTTGTGTATCTCTATACTATATGCTTCTAAGCTGTTGTATTCTGAGCACCTTCTGCAAAAGCAGTGATAATGTGTGAGTTGTGGTGAAAGTGTTGAATGATGATGAAATTATTTTCTTTTTGGGGGATTTTCTTTCTTTTTTTTGGGCCACCCTGCAACGGTGGGAGAACGACCGACTTGTTGAAAAAAAAAAAAAAAAAAAAATATATA